GGGGTGGGCAGGGGGGACATTGGGGGGGGCTGGACATTTTTGGGGTGTGTGAGACACACTCACTGTGAGCCCCCCTCTCTCCCCCCAAGTCAGATCCCACTCCCCCTTTTTAATTTGTTTTTTACCATTTTTCCCACAGGAAAGAAGAAAAAAAACGAAATTAAAATTAAGGAGTTTTTAATACGTGTTGCCCGTTTTCTACATTTTTTTGCCCATTTTCTACATTTCTCCCCCAAAAACGGGGAGGCAGGAGGGGCCTCGGGGAGAAAAGCAGCGATTCTGGGCAATTTTGAAAAGTTTGGGTGAGAAATAAGACAGAAATGGAAAAAAAAACCAGAAGATATCACCCCAAACCACCCGCTGGGATGGCAGGAAGAGACACTGGTGAGCAAAAATGGGGGTTGGGTTAAAAAAACCCAAAATTGGTTGGGTAAAAACCAAAGAAAGGGCATTGAGGGTGTGGCACAGCCCCAGTTCCAGCAGGATTTCCCCAAAATCAGGTGTGGAGCAGCCCCAATTCCAGGGGTTTTGGGCCAAAAACAAAAAAAAAGGGCAAAATTTGGGACAAAACCAAAAAAGGACCAAATTTAGGGAAAAATTAGAAAAAAAAGAAAAGCCCAGCTCAGGGCCAAAAGCAAAAAGAAACCAAATTTAGGGTTAAAAAACAAAAAAAAGAGGACGAACTTGGGGTCAAACCAAAAAAGGGCAAATTTCCACCCAAAAAGGGCCCAAATTCCACACAAAATAAAAGGGAATGGGGTCCAAATTAGGGGTAAAATCCCCAGTTTTGAGGATTTCTTTGCCCTGGCTCTGTCTGGGCTTTCAGGGTTATCCCAGCCTGCCCAGGGCTGGGTTTGGGTGGGAATCGGGGATTTTGGGTAATGGGATTTTGGGTGGGATCAGGGATTTTGGGTAATGGGATTTAGGGATTTTGGGTAATGGGATTTAGGGATTTTGGGTAATGGGATTTAGGGATTTTGGGTAATGGGATTTAGGGATTTTGGGTAATGGGATTTAGGGATTTTGGGTAATGGGATTTAGGGATTTTGGGTAATGGGATTTAGGGATTTTGGGTAATGGGATTTAGGGATTTTGGGTAATGGGATTTAGGGATTTTGGGTAATGGGATTTAGGGATTTTGGGTAATGGGATTTAGGGATTTTGGGTAATGGGATTTAGGGATTTTGGGTAATGGGATTTAGGGATTTTGGGTAATGGGATTTAGGGATTTTGGGTAATGGGATTTAGGGATTTTGGGTAATGGGATTTAGGGATTTTGGGTAATGGGATTTAGGGATTTTGGGTAATGGGATTTAGGGATTTTGGGTAATGGGATTTAGGGATTTTGGGTAATGGGATTTAGGGATTTTGGGTAATGGGATTTAGGGATTTTGGGTAATGGGATTTAGGGATTTTGGGTAATGGGATTTAGGGATTTTGGGTAATGGGATTTAGGGATTTTGGGTAATGGGATTTAGGGATTTTGGGTAATGGGATTTAGGGATTTTGGGTAATGGGATTTAGGGATTTTGGGTAATGGGATTTAGGGATTTTGGGTAATGGGATTTAGGGATTTTGGGTAATGGGATTTAGGGATTTTGGGTAATGGGATTTAGGGATTTTGGGTAATGGGATTTAGGGATTTTGGGTAATGGGATTTAGGGATTTTGGGTAATGGGATTTAGGGATTTTGGGTAATGGGATTTAGGGATTTTGGGTAATGGGATTTAGGGATTTTGGGTAATGGGATTTAGGGATTTTGGGTAATGGGATTTAGGGATTTTGGGTAATGGGATTTAGGGATTTTGGGTAATGGGATTTAGGGATTTTGGGTAATGGGATTTAGGGATTTTGGGTAATGGGATTTAGGGATTTTGGGTAATGGGATTTAGGGATTTTGGGTAATGGGATTTAGGGATTTTGGGTAATGGGATTTAGGGATTTTGGGTAATGGGATTTAGGGATTTTGGGTAATGGGATTTAGGGATTTTGGGTAATGGGATTTAGGGATTTTGGGTAATGGGATTTAGGGATTTTGGGTAATGGGATTTAGGGATTTTGGGTAATGGGATTTAGGGATTTTGGGTAATGGGATTTAGGGATTTTGGGTAATGGGATTTAGGGATTTTGGGTAATGGGATTTAGGGATTTTGGGTAATGGGATTTAGGGATTTTGGGTAATGGGATTTAGGGATTTTGGGTAATGGGATTTAGGGATTTTGGGTAATGGGATTTAGGGATTTTGGGTAATGGGATTTAGGGATTTTGGGTAATGGGATTTAGGGATTTTGGGTAATGGGATTTAGGGATTTTGGGTAATGGGATTTAGGGATTTTGGGTAATGGGATTTAGGGATTTTGGGTAATGGGATTTAGGGATTTTGGGTAATGGGATTTTGGGTGGGATCAGGGATTTTGGGTAATGGGAATCAGGGATTTTGGGTGGGAATCACGGATTTTGGGTAATGGGATCTGCAGCAATTTGGGAGCAGGACTCTGAGGTTTGGGGTTTGACCACCTCTGGTGTTAATTAGGGCCCTGCTTCATTAGCACTTCATTGGGGGGCTTCATTAGAGCCCCCACTTCATTAGCAGGAGCATCATTAAGGCTTCTCACTTCATTAGCGGGGCGTCATTAAGGTTCCCTCCTCATTAATGGAGGCGTCATTAGGGTTCCTTGCTTAATTAGAGCCCCGCATTTAATTAGCAAGAATATCCTGAGAACCCCCTGCTTCATTAGAGCCCCCCAGTTCATTACAGGGGCTTAATTAGGGCCCCCCACTTAATTATTGGGGGCATCGTTAAGACCCCTACGTGGCTGGGAGGGTGTTAGGGTGCTAATTAAGGCAGGGCTTCGTTAATTAAGGACTCACAGGGCCGGGGGTTGCATCGCTCGTGGGCAGCCAGCAGCGCCATGGCCAGCAGGTCCTGCAAAATGGGGAAAAAACAGCTGCTTTAGGCAAAAAACACCTCCATTCAGGCAAAAACTTTATTTTTTATTAAAAAAAAGACAATGAAAAAGCGGTTTTGGTAGGACTGACCTTGTCAGAGATCCTCCACCACGGTGTCCTCCTGGGGAGGAGAAAAACAACCAGAAAATCATTTTTGGGGAAAAAACCGCCCTGTTTGGGGGTCTGGAATGTGAGGGGAGGGCTTCGCCCGGTTTGGGGGGTACCTCAAAGACCCCCAGAACAAGAATTAGCATTTAACCCCCTTAAACCTTCAAGTGACCCCAAAAGCCCCCAAACCCGAAGATTTTTAATGCCTAAAAAGCCCTAAATCCTCCCAAAACCACAGCAAGGGTTTAATCCCCAAAGCTCAGCGTGAGCACCGGTTTAACTCGGGCTCGTACCTCTCTGCCTCACTCATGGCGCAGGATCAAAGGTTTCTCTGAGGTTTAAGCTATGATTATTTGTTATATTTTAGTAAAATTTAAGATGCTGAATTGAGTTTTTGGTGGCGGCAAAATCGCCTCAGGAGCTCCGGCGCCTTCCCGCCTTTTTCCTTCGCCTCAGCGGCGTTAGCCCCGCCCCTTCCCGGGTCCCGCCTCCTATAGGCCGCGATGCCGAGCCGCCAGCCAATCAGAAGTCAGATCTTAAATAAGCTACGCCTCCCTCCCCGACTCGTGCGCTATTATGGCGATATCAGCCAATCAGAGATGAGGAGCGCAAAGGAGACGTCGCTGATTGGCTGGGCGCCGTAAGGGGAGAAGTGTGAAGGGAGGGGCGGCTTGTGGGGGTTTGTGAGGGGAAGGGGTCGGGGAAGGCGCTGCGGACACGACGCGCGGGACGAGAGAATCGGGGAGAGGAGCCAAACCCGGCTGGTGCTGGGCGGCCTCAAGGGGCTCAGGGGGTCGCGACCCTCCCTTAGCAACAGCCGCCGGCCGAGCGGCGTCGCGCGGGGGATTTTTCTGATTGGCCGAGCCCCGCCGCGCCTGGCCAATGAACGCGAGCCACGGGACCCTGCGCGTCCCCGCCCACCCCCGCGCCGGCTGAGGGGCCGCTCGGAGCGTACCAAGCGCGGGCGCGCAGGGGGGGAGCCCAGCGGTTCAGGGTTTAGAGGGGTCCCGACCTCCCACACTCCTCTCGCAGAGGAGAACGAGGGGGCTCCTCAGGATCTCTGTAGGGAGGAGCTGCTCTGGGGGGCGAGGTGGGGGGAGCAGGTTGGGAGTGAACCCCTCCCGGTCTCCCCCCCCGGGCAGCAGGTGGTGCGGTCCGGGCGGAAGTGAGGTGTCGCGCGCTGAGGCGGTTCCGGTGTGGGAGCGGCCGGGGCTGGGGGGGCTGAGGCGGGGTCGGGCCCGGTGAGTCCCGGGGGGCGCCGGGGGCGACAGCGGGGCCTGGGGGCGGGCAGGACACCGGGGGGGCGGCGGGAGGAGCCGCAGGAGGAACCGCAGGCAAAGGGGGGGCTCGGGGCAGGCTGAGGGAGCGGTGACAGTTGGGGGTTCCTGTGGAGGAGGGGACGCGGATGTGAGGCGGGATGGGGGGGGCTGAGGGGTCCCTGAGGGTTTGGGGACATTGAGGGGGGACAGGGAAGGGACAGAGGGACACGGGGAGGACAGACAGACGTGGGGGGAGCTGAGGGTTTGGGGACATTGCGGGGACAGAGGGGCGTGAGGGGACCTGGAGCCCTGAGGGGACAGAGGGACAGGGAGGGGACAGAGGGACGGGGAGGGCTCCTGGCGGGGCTGGTGCCACGCAGGTGCCACCGGGGGGACACCAGGTGCCACCCCAGTGTGGGACAGGAGCCAGCGCTGCCAGCGGGGACCGAGAGCTGGAAAAGAAATCTCATTTTATCGCTGCCAGGAATCGTTAACGAGCAAAAAAATAATCGCCTTTGGGCCAGCCTCAACCCGTGGGGGGACACGGGGCTGCTTTTGGGGAGAAATCCTTTCTTTTGGGGGTGAAATCCCTGCTTTTTGGGGAGAAACCCCTGCTTTTGGGGAGAAACCCCTGCTTTTTGGGGCTCCAGGCTGAGGCCGTGCTGGGTGTGACAGCAGGAGCCTGAGCCCTGGTTTTGGGGTTATTTTTGGGGTGAAATGTGGATTATTTTGGATTATTAAATCACCATTTTTGGCTGTTCCAGGCCAAGCCCATGCTGTGCATGGTGGGAGCCTGATGGCTGAATTTGGGTTTATTTTTGGGGTTAAATCCAGGTTATTTTTGGGGTTCAATCCAGGTTATTTTGGGGTTTTTTGGCTGTTCCAGGCCGAGGCCATGCTGTGCACGGCGCTGGTCATGGCCGGCAGCCTGGCGCTCACCACGGCCGTGGTGGCCCACGCCTACTACCTGAAGCACCAGTTCTACCCCACCGTGGTGTACCTCACCAAGTCCAGCCCCAGCATGGCCGTGAGTGCTTTCTTCCTCGTTAATTACCCCTAATTAACCCCTCGTTAACCTGCCCACGCTGCCTCACTTCTGCTTTTGGAGGCGCAGCGGTTGAGGCGCTCCCGAACCCCCCTGGGGACAGCAGTTCCACCCCATCCGTCCCCCCCAGGGTGGGTTTGGGGTACCAGATCCCCCCCAGGCTGTCCCCAGAAACGCTTTTTGGGCTCTCCTGGCCCTGCAGGTGTTGTACATCCAGGCTTTTGTGCTGGTGTTCCTGCTGGGCAAGTTCATGGGCAAGGTTTTCTTCGGGCAGCTGCGCGCGGCCGAGATGGAGGTGAGCGATTTGGGGGGCAGCTTTGGACCCCAGAGGGGCTTTTGGGCTGATCTAGGGGGGATTTTGGACCCCAGAGGGGCTTTTGGGCTGATCTAGGGGGGATTTTGGACTCCAGAATGTCTTTGCTGTTGTTTTAGGAGAGAAATTTTGACCCCAGGAGGTTTTTAGTGCTGTTTTGGGGGGAATGTTGGATCCCAGAAGGTTTTGGTGCTGATTTAGGGGGGTTTTTGGTACCGTTTGGGAGGATTTGTTGCCATTCTGAGAGGAATTTATGGAGCTAGAAAGTCTTTGGTGCTGTTTGGGGGGAGAACTGATGCATTTTGGGGTGAATTTTGAACCCCCAGAATCTTTGTCCCCGCTTTGGGGTGAATTTTGAACTCCCAGGGTGGGTTTTTGGGCCCCGTTTTGGGGTGAGTTTTGAACTCCCAGGGTTTTTGGGTCCTGTTTTGGGGTGAATTTTCAACCCCCAGGGTTTTTGGGCCCCGTTTTGGGATGAATTTTGACCCCAGAATGTCTTTGATGCTGTTTGGGGGAAGAATTGATGCATTTTAGGGCAGGATTTTGAACCCTGAGAATCTCCCAGTTCCACTTTGGGTGGGCATTTTGAACCCCAAGAGATCTTTGGTGCAAATTTTGAACTGCCAGAGTTTTTGGGTCTCGTTTTGGGGTGAATTTTGAACCCCCAGGGTTTTTGGGCCCCGTTTTGGGGTCCAGCCTGGGGGGCTGCCCCTGACTCTGTCCCTCAGCACCTCCTGGAGCGCTCGTGGTACGCGGTGACCGAGACCTGCCTGGCCTTCACCGTCTTCAGGGACGACTTCAGCCCGCGCTTCGTCGCCCTCTTCACCCTCCTCCTCTTCCTCAAGTGCTTCCACTGGCTGGCCGAGGACCGTGTGGATTTTGTGAGTGTTGGCAGCAGGGAAAACAGCTCAAAAACCGCCCAAAAAAACCCCAAATCCAGCCTGAAACCAGCCCAAAAATCAGCCAGAATCGACCCAGAACCTGCCTGAAAGCAGCCCGAAAAATAACCTGAAATCAACCCAAAAATAACCCCAAATCAACCTGAAACCAATTCAAAAATAACCCCAAATCAGCCTAAACCAACCCAAAAATAACCCCAAATCAGCTCTAACCAGCCCCAAATCAGCCTAAACCAACCCAAACCCAACTCAAAATCAGCCCAAAGCCACCCCAAAAATAACCCAAAACCAGCCCCAAACCAACCTGAAATCAACCCCAAAAATAACTCAAAGCCACCCCAAAATTAACCCAAAACCAGCCCAAACCAACCCAAAATTAACCCAAAACCACCCCAAACCAACCCAAAATTAACCCAAACCAGCCCAAAATCAACCCAAACCCCATTTTTTAAGTGAAAAACTGAATTTTCCTCCCCTGCCCAGATGGAGAGGAGCCCCAACATCTCGTGGCTCTTCCACTTCCGAATCGTCTGTGAGTGCTCCTCATTTGCATATTTTTGGGGAACTGCCCGGGGCAGCCGAGCGTGCTGGGGCCTGATAACCCCGATTACCCTAATCAGCAGCGGCTCGTTAACGAGGGGGTGGCTGGGGGGGGTTAACAAGTTCCGTGGAGGGAAAACAAGGATTGGATCCATGGCAAAATGGGGTGGAAAAATGGGATTTGGGGGTGTAATTCCCAAAATGAGAACAATGGGATTTGGGGCCCAAACCCCATTTTTTAAGTGAAAAACTGAATTTTCCTCCCCTGCCCAGATGGAGAGGAGCCCCAACATCTCGTGGCTCTTCCACTTCCGAATCGTCTGTGAGTGCTCCTCATTTGCATATTTTTGGGGAACTGCCCGGGGCAGCCGAGCGTGCTGGGGCCTGATAACCCCGATTACCCTAATCAGCAGCGGCTCGTTAACGAGGGGGTGACTGGGGGGATTAACGAGCTCCGTGGAGGGAAAACAAGGATCAGATCCATGGCAAAATGGGGTGGAAAAATGGGATTTGGGGGTGTAATTCCCAAAATCAGAAAAATGGGATTTGGGGGTGTAATTCCCAAAATCAGAAAAATGGGATTTGGGGGTGTAATTCCCAAAATCAGAAAAATGGGATTTGGGGGTGTAATTCCCAAAATCAGAAAAATGGGATTTGGGGGTGTAATTCCCAAAATCAGAACAATGGGATTTGGGGGTGTAATTCCCAAAATCGGAAAAATGGGATTTGGGGGTGTATAAACCAATTTTGGAAGGAATTTTGATGGAATTTTGAAGGAATTTGATGGAATTTTGAAGGAATGTTGGGGTTTTGGGGGGCGGGAGGCTGCAAGGAGTGGCTGTGAGTGGAAAAATCTGCTAATTAAGCTCCTCGTTAGTGGTGGGGTGTAGGACCCCCCATCCCAGAGCTGCTCCCCAGGGTGGGACCCCTTCATTTTTCGGGGTCTTTTCCCAGCCCTGATGTTCCTGCTGGGAATCCTGGACTTCCTCTTCGTCAGCCACGCCTACCACAGCATCCTGACCCGCGGCGCCTCCGTCCAGCTGGTCTTCGGCTTCGAGGTGGGTGGGGGGTCCCAGGGGGTCCCCGGGGTCCCCGCGGGGGCGGGACGTCCCACGTGGCACCTGTCGCCCCCCCAGTACGCCATCCTGATGACCATGGTGCTGACCATCTTCATCAAGTACGTGCTGCACTCCGTCGACCTGCAGAACGAGAACCCCTGGGACAACAAGGCCGTGTTCATGCTCTACACCGAGCTCTTCACCGGTACCGCGGCGGTGTGGGGGGCCTGGGGAGCTCAATTAGGCGTTGGTTAACGAGGAGTTGGAGTGTTGGGGGTGTTCAGGTGGCCGTGGTTGGTCTAAGAAGAGCTGAAGTCTTGGTGGTGCTTGGTTGATCTTCATTGGTCAACGAAGGGTCAAAGTCTTGGTGGGGCTCAGTTGATCGTCGGTCAACGAAGCGTCAAAGTCTTGGTGGTGCTCAGTTGATCGTCGGTCAACGAAGAGTCAAAGTCTTGGTGTTCAACTGGTCTTGGTTGACTAACAAAGACTCAAAGTCTTGGTTTCCAATGGGTTTTTGTTCATTAACGATGATCCAAAGTGGTCAGCTGGTCTTGGTGGTCAACCAAAACCCAAAGTGCTGGTGTTGAACTGGTCTTGGTGGTCAACCGAAACCCAAAGTGCTGGGGTTGAACTGGTTTTGTTGGTCAACCAAAATCTGAAGTGTTGGTGGTGCTTGGCTGGTCTGGGTTGGTCAATGAACACTCAAAGTTTTGGTGTTCAGCTGGGTTTGGGTCATCAGTGAAGACTTGGAAGTGGTGGTGGTGCTCAACTGGCCTTGGTTGGTCAGCTGAGACTTGCTCAACTGGGCACCTCAACTGTCCCAGAATTGGCCCAGGTGCCCTTGGGGTCCCACCTTGTCACCTGAGCTGTCCCAGAGCTGGCCCAGGTGGCTTTGGGGTCCCACCTTGTCACCCGAGCTGTCCCAGAGCTGGCCCAGGTGCCCTGGGGTCCCTCCTGGTCCCCGGCTGTCCCCAGCGCGCCCGGTGTCCCCGCAGGGCTGATCAAGGTGCTGCTCTACATGGCCTTCATGACCATCATGATCAAGGTGCACACCTTCCCGCTCTTCGCCATCCGCCCCATGTACCTGGCCATGAGGTGAGGCCCTCGGCCCGGGGACGCGCGGCTGTGATCCCGTCCTGATCCAGTCCTGATCCCAGTCCTGATCCGGTCCTGATCCTGATCCCAGTCCTGATCCGGTCCTGATCCTGATCCCAGTCCTGATCCAGTCCTGATCCTGATCCCAGTCCTGATCCCAGTCCTGATCCCAGTCCCGATCCCAGTCCTGATCCCAGTCCTGATCCTGATCCCAGTCCCGATCCCAGTCCTGATCCTGATCCCGTCCTGATCCCGATCCCAGTCCTGATCCTGTCCTGATCCCGTCCTGATCCCAGTCCTGATCCCATCCTGATCCCATCCTGATCTTGATCCCATCCTGATCCTGATCCCAGTCCTGATCCCATCCTGATCCCATCCTGATCTCAGTCCTGATCCTGTCCTGATCCTGATCCCAGTCCTGATCCTGATCCTGATCCTGATCCCATCCTGACCCTGATCGGGATCCCATCCTGACCCTGATCCTGATCCCATCCTGATCCTGATCCCGATCCTGATCCCATCCTGACCCTGATCGGGATCCCATCCTGACCCTGATCCTGATCCCATCCTGATCCCAATCCTGATCCCATCCCAATCCCAATCCCACCCAGATCCCGATCCCAATCCCATCCCAGTCCTGATCCCGATCCTGACCCCATCCCGATCCCGATCCCGCTCTGCTCCAGGCAGTTCAAGAAGGCCGTCACCGACGCCATCATGTCCCGCCGGGCCATCCGCAACATGAACACGCTGTGAGTGCCACTCCTCCCAAAAACCCCAAATTCTGGGAAAGCCCTGTGTCCATCCACCCCAAAACCTCAAATCCTGGGACACCCTGCATCCCTGTATCCCAAAAACCCAAATCCTGGGACACCCTGCATCCCTGTATCCCAAAAAAACCCCAAATCCTGGGACACCCTGCATCCCTGTATCCCAAAAACCCAAATCCTGGGACACCCTGCATCCCTGTATCCCAAAAAAACCCCAAATCCTGGGACACCCTGCATCCCTGTATCCCAAAAACCCAAATCCTGGGAAACCCTGCACCCATGTATCCCAAACACCCAAAATCCTGGGACACCCTGCATCCATCCACCCCAAATCCTGGGAAAACCCTGCATCTGTATCCCAAAACCCCAAATCCTGGGAAAACCCAGCGTTCATCCCAAAAATCCCAAATCCTGGGAGAGGTCTGATGGTCCTGGCCCCACTGGGTGACTGGGATGGGGCTGGGATGGAGCTGGGAGCGTTTGGCACCTTTGGGAATTCAACCAAAACCCACTGAACAAATTCCCTTTTACCCCTAAACTGCCCCGAGCTGCGGGAGTTTTGGGAAGGACTGTGGGATTTTGGGAGCAGCTGTGGGGTTTTTGGGAGCAGCTGTGGGTTTTTTGGGATCAGCTGTGGGGTTTTTGGGATCAGCTGTGGGATTTTGGGAGCAGCTGTGGGGTTTTTGGGAGCAGCTGTAGGGTTTTTTTGGGATCAGCTGTGGGATTTTGGGATCAGCTGTGGGATTTTGGAGCAGCTATGGGTTTTTGGGATCAGCTGTAGGGTTTTTTTGGGATCAGCTCTGGGATTTTGGGACCAGCTATGGGATTTTGGGAGCAGCTGTAGGGTTTTTTTGGGATCAGCTGTGGGATTTTGGAGCAGCTATGGGTTTTTGGGATCAGCTGTAGGGTTTTTTTGGGATCAGCTCTGGGATTTTGGGACCAGCTATGGGATTTTGGGAGCAGCTGTAGGGTTTTTTTGGGATCAGCTGTGGGATTTTGGGATCAGCTGTGGGATTTTGGAGCAGCTATGGGTTTTTGGGATCAGCTGTAGGGTTTTTTTGGGATCAGCTCTGGGATTTTGGGACCAGCTATAGGATTTTGGGATCAGCTGTGGGATTTTTGGGACCAGCTATGGGATTTTGGGACCAGCTATGGGATTTTGGGATCAGCTGTGGGATTTTGGGATCAGCTCTGGGTTTTTTGGGAGCAGCCCTGCCTCTCCTGGCACAGGTACCCCGACGCCACGGCCGAGGAGCTGCAGGCCATGGACAACGTGTGCATCATCTGCCGCGAGGAGATGGTGACGGGCGCCAAGCGCCTGCCCTGCAACCACATCTTCCACACCAGGTGCTCCTGCCGGGAATCCCAGGGCTTTGGGGCATTTTGGGGTGGTTTGGGGGCTTTTTGGGGTGGTTTTAGGCTGGTTTTGGGGGTGGTTTTGGGGGATTTTGGGGTGTCACCGCCGCAGTTCTGCCAGCCTGCAATGGCAGTCCTGGTCCTGGTCCTAATTCCAATCCTGATCCTGATCCCATCTTGATCCCACTCCCGATCCTGATCCTGATCCCAATCCCAATCCCAATCCTGATCCCATCTTGATCCCAATCCCAATCCTGATCCTGATTCCATCCCAGTCCCAGTCCTGATCCCAATCCCAATTCCAATCCTGATCCTGATCCCATCTTGATCCCAATCCCAATCCTCATCCTGATTCCATCCCAATCCTAATCCTGATCCCAATCCTAATCGTGATCCCAATTTCAATCCTGATCTCAATCCCGATCCCAATCCCAATGCTGATCCTGATCCCAATTCCAATCCTGGTCCCATCCCAATCCTGTTCCTGATCCCATCCTAATCCCAACCCCATCCCAATCCCAATCCTGATCCCAATCCCAATTCTGATCCTGATCCCAGTCCTGTTCCTGATCCCATTCCAATCCTGATCCCAATCCCAATCCTGATCCTGATCCCATCCCAATCCTGATCCCAGTTCCAATCCTGATCCTGATCCCAGTTCCAATCCTGATCCTGATCCCAATTCCAATCCTGATCCCAGTCCTCATCCCAATCCTGATCCCCTCTTGATCCCGATCCCATCCCAATCCCAATCCCCAGCACCACAGTGGTGGTTAACGAAGCTATTAGTTAATTGAGGATTAATTAATAGGGGTTCATTAGTGGGAGAAGGGTTAAATTCCATTGGAGGGTCAGGGGGACACGGAGGGTCTCGGGTTCCAACAGCTAACGAGAGGGGAGTTAATTAACGGGTTAATTACCGCCAGGGGAATAAAGCAGCGGGGATTTTGTGGGATGGCATTAACGAAGGTGCTAACGAGGGGTTAATTAACCCTGCAGCTGCCTGCGCTCGTGGTTCCAGCGGCAGCAGACGTGCCCCACGTGCCGCATGGACGTGCTCCGCGCCTCGCTGCCCCCGCAGCCGCCCCCCGAGCCCCCGGCAGCGGCAGCGGCAGCGGCGCAGCCCCCCAACTGTGAGTGACCATGGGGACAGGGACCCCCCAACTGTGAGTGACCATGGGGACAGGGACCCCCCAACTGTGAGTGACCATGGGGACAGGGACCCCCCA